GTTTGATAGGGGTGCTGCATCTCCTGGAACTCAATAGTGCCGCCCGGCTGCAGGGCGTTGAGACATCTATCGAGCATGGCATTTGGATCTTTCAGTAGAAACAAAAACATACGGCCGTGTATGATATCGAACTTATTTTCGAGTTCAAGGTCCCAGTTGGATGTCTCAGCGTCGAGGACTCGAAAGGTACAGTTTTCCGGTACAGGCGTGATAGACGGCGCGTAGAGATCAATCCCAACAGCTGAAGACCTCGGGTATGCCGCCGCAAACTCAGATGCCCAGACTCCCGTTCCTGTGCCAATGTCGAGTACCCGGCCTGCGAAGTCCTTGTGGACAGGTGACTTGAGAAGTTTGTTGCCGAGAATGAGGCCGAATACGTCGTGCTGCAGATTAAGCCGTGCATCGTCGCCATCGAGGTGAGAGGGAAGCGTGTAGTTGTTGTTTGACGAAGCCATCATGTGGTTTGCTTGGTTTCGTCACTCGACACCCTGACACTGCTGCTATTCGACGGCCCGTCCAAGTTGTGTTCCCCGCACTACATCAGGACAGCTGCGAGAGGCAGTCACTGCCGAGCCTTCTAACCGCATTGGCTCAGATGCTTGGACTTGCATGATCCCTCCAAATTAGACGTCTCCTTGCTTAAAGTCAGTGGACGCTCTACCGATTCATGGGTTCTGAGGTCGACCAGAGTAGAATGATCGTGGAAGTCTGAGCAATCCTTCTAATTTAGTAGTTGCGAGTCTCCATTATCTCGAAAATATTTGTTTCGTACTGTAGTATGAAAGCTTTATGCGAGCACTATTTAGGAAACTTTGGTCCTGTATCAACTTTGCTAATAAACAAACTGACAATCATGTAACGAGCAATTATTCGCTCAAATGCTACTAAGACTTGTTGTCGGATTGTAGTTTTTACAGGCCCACATGATACAGCAAGCCTGGGTTGAAGTTGATTCCTCAACCAGGACATGATCACTCCAACCCCTTCTCGAAAGTGGCATTGCGAGCAAATAGAAGCAAGCACACAACCTGTAAGAGTTCATGTAGTACGACCCCCATCGTACGCTGAGGACTGCAGACTCAACTAGCTGCCTGACAATATGGACTGTTTGACATTGATGTATAAGTTCTGGCTTCAGGAGTGCAAATTAGGTAAGAGACACCCATCATTGTCGGACAGAAGTTAATGAGCGGTGGCACGAATCCAGGTTATTGACATTTAGTCACACAGAATCTAGCTGCGCGGCGCAAGAGATGTCCATGCATTACTAGCTCAAGTTCTCACCGTGGCACACCGAGCACTCGAGCCCTGGCTCCGGCGACGGTGTCACAGTTGACGGCAGCGGGCCGGATGACGGTAGGGTCTCACACTCGTCGGGCTGGACAGTGGGACTGCCAGCGTGTTTTTGGCAGGATATGGGAAGAATAGGATTAAAAAAAACATGCACATCATGAGACCACTTCAAGCGCCTGTCTCACAGCTTTGTGGAGCCTGGACCTGTGTTGTTTTCACCTTCCCAGCGGGGTGAGAATGTGCGCGGCTCGCAAAGCGAGATCGGCTCAAAAAAAAAAAGCTTGCCAAAGTTTACAGAGAACCCACCCGAACAGGAGCGGAAAATTAAACAGACAGCGCATGCCCGTTAATTACTGTCTAGGTCTGGCCTTGAGAGTGGCGTCAGAGCCAGCCACTTCTACGGTCTTCTAAACCGGCTTCCTTCTACCTATACATACATCTGCCAGACAGACTACTGCGAAGTGATAAAAATAAAGAATGAAAATACACTCTCGAGTCTCTGATGCGGCCGTTTTCCTGCGAGAACCGGCGCCATCCCAAGGACCCGCTGCGGCCTTGGCGCGCCTTCCCTGCAAGGCCGCGGCAGTCAAACCTTAACGGGAGCCAAGCCGCTTCCCGCCCCTTGAGCAGGGGCACGGACAAGGGTCATTGGATGCACGCGTCGAGGCTCTCCAAGCTCGAATTTGAAGTGCTTGCCGTAGTTCATGTGTTGCCCAAAGCTTCGAGGCTGCAGTTCTCGGCCTGTCATCTTAGTGCGGGCGTTGAACGCGCGGTCTCACGGCAGGAACAGCTGCTTTATGGACCTACCCCTGAGCCACAATAACGGTCAACATGAGATTGAAAGTCGAACAACCCCCGCGGCCTACGCACGCTCATGCGGCAATCGTGATGAGGGACACTCTGTCTCTCAGACATGACATTTAAGGCAAAGATCCCCATATCGAATCATCGTCTCCCAAATTAACACCTGCCTTAGCTGCCCCGTCGAACTTGCAGGCGGCTGTTGCATCTGAGTCGTCCGGTCAACTCATCGTGCCTTCCATCCTTTCTGTCCCCCCTTGTATGCCAGGCAGGGCAAGAGGAGAGGAGCTGCCTCCACTCGCTCCACTGCAACACCTAAGATAATAGATGCACTGCCAGCAGACTTCTTCGCCCCTCTTCCTCTTCTTCTCTCGGTTTCTCGGTCTTGTACCTCCAGCTTTCTTCCCAGCGATTGTGCCTTGGCCTCGCTGTCTGCCTCTCTTTTTAACTGCTCTCGTGGTTTCATCGCCAAGACCATATATATAGTCCCTCTTTATATCATCCAGGATGGCGAACCATTCCGTTCTGATCACGGCGCTCGTCGCTTTTGCCATTGCGGCGACTGGACTGGCAAGCGTCATTCCGCCGGTTGACGCCGCCTGCAACTCGAGCACATTTTCCATCCGCCAAGTCAAGAACCCTCGCTTTTCTCGCCACGGTCCCCTGGCCCTGGCCAAGATCTACAGGAAGTATCGGGTTCCTTTCCCAGATGACCTCCGCGCGTTCATGGACCACTTTTCGCACACGATGAAGCGAACGACAGGTAGTGCCTCGACTACGCCCGAATCAGACGACGTCGAGTATTTGACCTCGGTTTCCATTGGTACTCCGCCCCAGGTGCTTAACATGAACTTCGACACTGGCTCCAGTGACCTCTGGGTCTTCAGCACTGAGTTGCCTGCCGACGAGGTCAACGGCCAGACCCTCTACGACCCTTCGAAGAGTTCCACAGCACAGAAGCTACAAGGCGAGACTTGGTCAATCACGTATGGCGACGGCAGCACATGTGGTGGCGATGTCTACACGGACCAGGTCACCGTGGGCAGCTTGACAGTCAAGACCCAGGCTGTTGAATGTGCAGACCACGTTTCGAAGGAGTTCACCGAAGACACCCAAAATAGTGGCTTGTTTGGCCTTGGCTTTGATAACATAAACACCGTCATGCCGGACAGACAGAACACCTTTTTTACCAATGCTAAGTCTGGTCTCGATCAGCCGCTGTTCACTGCTGATCTCAAGGCTGGCGCGCGTAAGCTCACGCTCTTTCTCCCACCCTAAAGCTTACCCACGCTAATATGCTTGTCTATCAGCGGGTACCTACAGTTTCGGATTCATCGATAAAAATGCTTACGTCGGTAAAATTACGTATCTGCCTGTCGATACCAGTCAGGGCTTCTGGGAGTTTACCTCTCCGGGATACTTAATTGCGAGTGGCAAAGTACAGCGCGTCGCTCTGCAGGGAATTGCTGACACGGGTACTACCCTGTTACTGCTTCCCGACCAAGTGGTGTCTGATTACTACAGCTCGGTAAGCGGCGCTCAGTATGAGAGCTCCCAGGCCGGCTACACCTTTCCCTGCAGCCAAAGCTCGTCTTTGCCGGATTTCACATTCGTCCTCAACAGCAGTTCCGCGATTACCGTGCCTGGTAAATACATGACATATGCACCGACAGATTCCAGCGGGCAAACTTGCTTTGGTAGCATGCAGAGAAACACGGGCGTCGGCTTCTCAATCTTTGGCGACATTGCCATCAAGTCCGCTTTTGTCGTCTTTGATGGTGGCAATACACGAATTGGCTGGGCGGCTAAGGAAATCAAGGTCTAACAGGTTTCTCTAGAAGACTGGAAGCCGAGGGCTCATATTAGGAATGAAGTAACGTGGTATGAGGGGCCATTTTGACGTTGACGTCATTCATATCTCATTCTATTCTTTTTGGGCTGGGAGAAGTCCATGGATGACCTCGACACATGTGCAGGTTGGTCATATGCACACCGACAAAGAAAATTGGGCATCCTGGATCAACTCAATGACAATATCAGGGATACCTGGTATTTAGTTATTAGAAACCCATCTCATAGCGAATGAAACGATGATAGTGGAATGATCTTGTATATGGCTCACTAGGCTACTAGCTTAGTTTGATGCTATCTTCATAGTTTGTTGCTAGACTTGTGTTCACGGTGGTACCGCTCGTATTTCATGCACAAGGTCTCATTCATGTTTCAGTTAACCATGTCAATTAGTCGGTCGCCGACCTGATTTACCCAAAATTTATCGCTATTGAAGTTCGGATGTTGTTTTCTTTACATGTTGAGATCTATTCCTGATACCAATTCCACCGAATTCCATCATGAAAATAAATTATCTCCATGGTAGCTAAAGAAGCACTCGTTTTGCGAATAGATGAAATAGGAAACTAGATTATCTTTATGTATCAAGTCTGATGTATTCTGCAACACTTTGTTCTGTGACAGTTGGAGGCTGTTGAACAACGAAACCCACACATGCACTTCATACCACGCCATGTCAAATCCGCTGAAAGAGCTTGGCTGCGGCCAAGTGTCAATCCTTGGAAACGAGACAGTCTACCGCGGTGAAAATGAGGACATGGAGCACAAGTTTGTTGAACGGGTTCTTTACACAGTAGGTAGCGGAATGCCTGCTGTCGCTCACTATCCTTCAGCAGAGTGGAAGCAGAGTGGAAGTAGAGTGGAGAACAGCCCCCATTTAGGTATATGTAAACAATGAAAGAGTGGATTCATATCTGTGAAAAAGCAAGGTTTCCATAATATGACCACGGCCAAGAAGGATCCTTCCGCTCTATCCACAGTACAGTCCACGCCAAGCGGAAACCACAAAAGCCCCAGCTCAGGCCCACCTATCTGGTGGTAAAAAGCAAAAGAAGAGGTCGTACCCGGGCTCGAACCGGGGTCGTTGGAATGAAATTTCCTGGAAACATTTTGAGGCAAGTCAAAATCCAAAGTGCTAACCACTACACCATACAACCTTGTATCCTAGGATTTGTAATTGATTCAGCTGTGGCGAAAGTGGCTCTCTGCGTGAGGATAGCGAGGCCGGACATGCACAAGAATATTTTTTGCACGGTCGGCTTTATGGTAGGATTGAAGAAAATAATTATGGTTAGAAATCGTGACAATTTAGATAAGTGGCGTTGAATACAACATGGTTTCAAGCAGAATGGTATGTCACATTTTTCTACTCTCTTCTTTTTTCTCTTTTTTTTGGTTTTGGTTTTGGTTTTTGGGGGGGGGGGGGGGGGACCGGGCAGAGAGGTGCTGACTTTTCAATCTTGCTGAAAATATTCGACGCTAATGCTGCATCAATCGAATGGAGGTGTGCTGGCGTCGAAGATGGCAAGAAAACAATGAAAACGAATGTTACAGGGCTAGAGAGCTGCACGAGGTGACGACTGTTGCCCTACATACGGACTCGGGACAAATGAGGCGCTGTTGTGAAGGAAACAAGTGAAATGTGGAAATAGTGACACTGTGGGATATGAAGCAAAGAAGAAGAAGGAAGGAAAAGGAAAAAAGGCAAGCAGAAAGAAAAAGGAAAGAAAAAAAAGAGCCTTGTGCTATCGACTTATCAGTATGGAACTAGCCTCCACGCGACACTTCACAGAAAGACCACTCAGCCAACGGTGTTTTTTGGGTAATAACAGTGAGCGAAAACCTTATTGATAAACCCTCCGCTGCCCTCCCGCCCATCGTCTGCAGAGGGTGGGGCATTCTGGTCTATTCTACACAAACGCAAACAAGGGGGGCGGGGGGGAAGGGGGGAAGAAGGAGGAAAAGGAATCTCACCCTCGCCGGCAGCAACAACCACCCATGAGGCAGATCCTACCAGCTCCGACCTGGACCCCGGCGATCTGTCGGCCGCCCCGTGCAACCCCAGCTCAGCAACAATTATACTTCCCCGGACCCCAAGAATGAACGACAGAGCAGCTGATCCACATTCAAGCGAGGCTGTAGTTTCTTTATGGGGGTTTATGGTATTGGCAATACGACGCAGAAACCTCTCTCGAGTCTCGCCACTCACTTTCAGCTGGATGGATGGATCGAGCGGACGAGCTGATCAGGCAGCTTGATGATATAAGCAACCTAGCAATAAGTTTTAGGCACGCCGGGTACCGACACTGACTGACTGGACTCGCCCACTTCTATGTAGACATGGCAGTGATCCCCTTGGTCTGCTGACTTTGATTTGACACATAGTTTGTTTACCAACAGCATGTAGGGGTAGGGGATACCACTGTGGAAAGAACGCACGACGCTTTACACTCCTTTCACGGGTCAACTGCAGCTGAGCTCAGTGGCTAGAAAAGGTAACAGCAGTAGATAACCGAATGTGATTCCTCATGTCTTATCTTGCTGCGTGCGGTTAGTATGAGCACACTAATACTTGTTTTGAGGGTATGAGACGTTTTCTTTGTTAAGTGATGTGAGGGGATTAGAGTGATGATTGAATCTTTGGAACTTGACCTATATCCATCGAAGATGAAAAAAGCTAGCAATGTCAGTTGCCATTGGCATGCAACTAGGTAGCCACAGCTTGCCCCACGTCCAGCCTGGAATCATGCACATGCACAACCCCGGATCACGTCCATCACTCAAAACCCGCCAGCTGAGCGTGGGTTAGTGTTGCCTCGTGTTGTCAGCTGTAGTGTTCACTGCTATTGTGTGCCGTCTTTTTTTCCTCCCTTTTTTTCCTCCCTTTTTCTCTCAGGGTTGCTGTTGTCATTCCCACGTTCAAGTTGTCCAATTTCGCGACCACCAACCGTCAGCGCGGCCAGCCAGCTCTAGGCCTGCTTGGCGTTGGTCACGGCAGAGCTTGGCGCTTCCCACGAGGTGCTTTGCCAAGTGCCAAGCAGAAGTCAAGAATAAAGAAGCTCTTTCGGAAAACTCCGCCGAGCCCTTTAAGAGACAACTTTCGTCATCAAGTGACTTTCCGTTGCCATGTCTATTACGTCGCCTATGTCTGCCGATTTTGTAGTGTAAGGGACAATCTGATAGTTTGTAGGAAGAAAAAGGATGTGAAAAAAACCGTGCTTGTCCTCGCGCGTGCGCCGCCCCGAAGCGTTATCGGAAAAGAAAGCGTAATACGTACTCGAAATTGAAACAGTGAGCAACACTAACAACCCACTGACAAAGGATGTCTGCCGAAATCAATAGCCTGCATGCCACAGACAGCTCATCTCAACCTTTCTGGACAGGGTCCAGTGGCCATCACGAGGACAGGCCGCACCGACTCCTGCCGCCCAACGAGTCTGACTCAAACGGTACGAGGGTCCCGTTGCGGCCTGGTTGCAGTCCCCTCCCATCCTCTCCAGACTGCAGCTGGTTTATTGGCATTGTTCTGTTTTTCCGAGTTAGGTATATGCTGCTGCCGCCAAGTCGAGGGATGTGCAGTTCATCAACTCAGCTCAGAGCCCCGGGCCGGCTGCTGATTGGTCGGTTGCTCGCGCTCGCCGCCTTGGCTGAGCGAGTTTACAAGGAAACTGTGTTCCCTGCTTGCTTTTCCCAAACCCCCACTGTGATCAATAAGAGGCGCTGGTCACGACATGGTGATTTTCGTCGCGGTTGCCTCTGCTTTCCAATGCGGCGTCGTGAGGGGCGCGGTGAGGTCCTCTTGGCCGTGCACGTTCAGGACGCTGGCAGCGTTTGATCCCGGCTAGGGCAAGCACGCCAAGCGCGCCCAGAGGACCAAGACTCCTATCAAGTCGGTCCCCGAACGCCATCCACGATTGCGTGCTGAAGCCAAGAGATGTTGCCATCTGCGCCGAGACCGCGAGCGACCATCCCGACCTGATGGGAATGCCTTGGGGGAGGTCTTGGAAAGTCTTGGGAGAGTCTTGGAAAAGTCTTGGGATGAAGGGGTGAGGAAAGAGAAAATCCTTGGCCACTTGGCGGGATGGGAGACAGAACTTATAAGTGCGGTCGGCAATCCGGCAGAGTTTGTGCCAGGCGGGGTTTATTAATCTACTCAGCTAGGACGGCAAAGTCGGGCTCTAGAGTGGAACCTTTTTCTTGTTTGCACCTGCAAGTTTGAGCCAGAATCAACCACCCCTAGGACCTCGGACCGCACTTGAGACGCACAGCACATCCCCGAGCTGACAGCTTCCGCCAATCATGGGTCTCGACGTCAAGGACGATGTCGACTTCCCCGCGCCGGTAGAGGATGAGGAGGCCCTCACAAGGGTCGTCGACTGGACCCCCGAGGAGGAGAAGAAGGCGAAGCGGAAGTAAGTGGTGTTATGGCGACATGGTGGTGAGACGGGCGGCCTATCAGCGCACTTGGCTTACGCAGGGGTCCTCCTTCTTCGCACACAGGCTCGATTTGCTCATTATGCCGATCTTGACGCTTGGCTTCTTTTGCCTCCGTAAGTCATCTCGCCGGTGATGCCCAAACTCTCAGCAAAACTCTAATCCTCAACGCCGACAGAGCTTGACCGCGGCAATATTGCCAACGCCATCACCGACACGTTCATGAAAGATGTCGGAATCACGCAGGATGAGTTCAACGTCGGCCAGCAGATGCTGTCTCTGGGCATTGTGCTCACCGAGATCCCGTCGAATATGATCTTGTACCGTATCGGGCCCGGCAAGTGGCTCACGCTGCAGCTGTTTCTCTTCGGCCTCGTCAGTACCTTCCAGTCATGGCAAAGGTCGTATGGCGCCTTCATCTTCACCCGCTTTCTCCTGGGCATCACGGAATCAGGTTTCATCCCCGGCGGGCTGTGGACGCTGTCTACATGGTACACGCGCCGCGAGACGGCCAAGCGCGTCATGATCTTTTACTTTGGCAACCAGTTCGGCCAGGCCTCGGCCAAGCTGCTGGCGTACGGCATCCTGCACATGAAGAACGTGGGCGGCCAGCCCGGCTGGTTCTGGCTGTTCACGCTCATGGGCGCCTTCACCATCCTCAGCGGCTTCATCTTCGGCCTCTTCCTGCCCGACTCGTTCAAGAACCCGCACTCGACCTTCCTGCCCAAGGTCAAGATCTTCACCGAACGCGAGCTGCACATCCTGCAGACGCGTGTGCTCCTCGATGAGCCCATGAAGGGCAAGAAGAAAAGAAAGATCAACTGGGGCGCCTTCAAGCGCACCTTCACCAACTGGCGGCTGTGGACACATTTCTTCATCACACTCGCCAACAACGGACCCCAGCGCGCCTTTGACACGTACTCGCCGACCATTGTCACCAGCTTCGGCTTCCAAGCGCTCCAGAGTAACGCCATGGCCTCTGTCGGCCTGTTCCTGCAGATCCCCGTCTCGTTTGGATTCAGCTGGTTTTCCGATCACTTGTAAGTTTTGGGCAGAGACTCGTCCTTCGAAATGGAGCATACTGACGAAATTTTGTGTTCAGCAACCGCCGTGGCGAGACTGTCATTGCCGGTCTTTCCATGCACATGATCGGCTACATCTTCAACCGCGGCTTCACCGACATCAACCTGCGCGGCGTTCGCTACTTCGGTGTCGTATGGACGCAGACGTTCGGCACCTTCAGCCACCCGCTCAACATCACCTGGATGTCACTGGCGTGCGAGGACTCGGAGGTGCGCGCGTTGGCCATGGCCATGTAAGTTGTCTTTGTCTCTCTCTGTTTGCCTGTGCATGAGAATGGCAAAAGAGACTAACCAACCATCTCAGGGTCATCATGGGCGCCAACATCGCAGGCATCTACGGCGCGCAGATCTTCCGCTCAGACGACAGCCCGTTCTATCGCCGCGGCTTCAGCGTTGCCATTGCCGTGCTCGCAGCCGGTGTGGTGCTGGCCATTGCTCGGTATGTCGACGACGTGGTTCGTCGCCACCGCCGCCGTCGCGCAGCTGGAGCCTTGCAGCCGGCCGAGTCGGCGAGTGATGAGGGTGTCGACAAGGCCCCGCTCGAGAAGATCACCGACGTACTCCCCGTGCCCGGCCATCCGTTTTCGAATGATGCCAAGGAGCTCGCTGTTGCTGAGAAGAAGTAGACAAACATATCATCA